CAGCAGACCTCTCCTGTTTCTCCTGCTGCTCCCCTCAGCAGAACCACCTGTTCTGCTCCCAGCTTTGTCTCTGGTAAATCCTCTAAACCCCCACACCTCTGGCCTTCATCCCAATTTTGTATGCATAAATAAAAATAAATCTTAAAAAAATATATATAGCAAATCATCATGCTAGCACCTTGTATGAGGTTTTGTGCTTACATAAATATCTCCTCTTGATTGCCTGGCAGGAAAGTATCATGATCTGTATCTGTTAGTAAACTGGGTTCACCATGGCTGCAGGAGCAGGGCCAGCGTAGCAACCCAGACAGCTGTGCTCTCTATGATGTGACTCCACCTCCCCACCACTCTTGAATAAAATTTTAAAACAAGAGACAGCTTAGGTTTTATATAACATTACCAATCTTATTTAAAGAAAACGAATTTATTCAGCCATTAAATCAGAATTGTTTACTCATTCGATTGTCCACAAGGAGGACTGTATTGTTACATGTTAATGAACCTCATAAGGAGGTTACTTTGTCTAATTATCAACACAATCCAAATGTTAAAATTCTCATTATAAATCTTGGTATCAAATAATATCATATGTCACATGAACTTTATTTTAGAAGATAGTGCTTATTCAGCAGATCCAGGATGGAAAAGCTCATCATAAAAAAATTAACATAAGGGGTAAGGCATTTTAAAGTTTAATGATACATCCATCCACATAAAAGTGGTCATTTGAAGAGGAATGCATAGCTCTTATTCAGAAGGCAAAATGGTTTCTGTAGGTTTTAATTAATTACATCTCCTGTGATTATAACCCATTAAAGTATCTTCTGCCAGGCTTCTTTCTCCAAGTTCCATAATTATTGATGTATTCTAGAAAAAGATCCTTTCCGAAGGGAGTGTATACGTATTTCCAGGTGTACGTGTGTGTGATGTGTGTTCATAGTTTCTAAGAGCCAGGGTGGCCCAGCAAGCAGGAGAGAGAGAAAGGGGCCAGAATCAAGGCACCAAACTGTCTCTTGGGGTCACCCATCTGCACCCTACAGTGGGGCAGCAACAAGGCAGTCAGTTGTAGGTTCCAACTTCAGCAATTTCTTTCCCCCACAGCATCCCAATGAGCTTGCCTAGTCTATCCTTAAAGCTAATCAGAAGAGAAGGCTGTCCATGGGGTATACTCAAAGACTCCAAATATTGGCCCCCTAATTACCTCCATCATTGAAAGATCAATTTGGTGTGTTTATAATACCAAACAGAGCTGCTATATGTATTTTGTTTGTTGTCTCTGTTGTTTTAAATTTTTTACATTAAAAACTTTGTTAATCAAGATTTACAATTGATGTACATGGTATCCACTCAAAAGGGGATGGATAGGCTTTGAGTATGGGGAATCAAAAATTCACTTAAATCTTTTAGTTATGATTCCAAAATGCCAAAATATTGTTTATAACAATGATGCTCTATATTAATTACCTACACACACACAGTCAATGAGTAATAGTATACATTCTTAGAGTTCTTTCCTTTTTTCTTATATTATGCTTGTTTTGATTACAGAAATGTAATTTTGTTTGTTGACTCTAATAACTAAAATATTTGAACTTGCATTTGTATTTCTTTTTACTAAGTCATTTGCATTGTATTTTACAAATGTGTGCTTCCATGATGAGAGCAGGGCTGGCTTTTCTCTCTGGATATTTGAGAAGCACTTGTGTAGATAATGTGCTGACATCTTCATCTTCAAATGACCTAGTTCCTAGCTGTACTCGACTGACATGGTTCTATTTTTGTATTTGATACTCAAATGAAAGTTCTGAGAGCTTGGAGGTGAGTTTAGACATTGGCTACGCCTTGGCAGAACTGGCTATGGGTAGTGAAGACAGAGCAGCAGGCCTGGGAAGAGGGAGTGAGTCCCTCACCCCTTGCCTGACTGTTCCCCTCAAGCAGTTTGCCCCCCAAGGATGCTCCTGAGAGATTCAAATGTTCCAGCAAAATGCATTGACTTCAGACTTTCACCTCAGGCAAAATGTGAGAATAGCACATTGGATGATTTGCTATAAGGATGGTGTAAACACCACAGTGAAAATTTGATGACAGGTAATTGTTTCTCCTCTTCATCTAGGTGTCTACTGAAATACAAGAGGGCTCAAACCAACATGGCATATTTAAACCAAACTGGTATGTACAACTATAACTGAAACTATTAAAAAACTATTAAAAATATAGTTTTTCCGCAAATTTTAAGGACGTATAACTGTAATTATGAGTACTGCTCTAGTTTTGTGTGTGTGTTTGTATGTTAATGTTCTAAGATTCTTTATGATTATCAAGTAGCATTAGTAAGCACACCAATCATAACATTCAGGCAAATAAAATTAGCTTGCCTTTTCGAGACAAATTTTTTTGAAACTGTTATAAGTAGACTTAAAGACAATTGATATTTTTAACAAGGCACACATATTTGTGGAACTCTATTACCTTCCCAATCTAGTACAAATTCAAAGCTAGCCTACTTTCAATGCCTCCATTCTGGCTCAAAATGTAATAACAAACCCTTCCAATGAACAGGCAAATAATGTCTTCCTGTAGAGAAGTCAATTAAACTCAATAGTTCTGAACTCATCTGTGAGTCAGAGAGACCCTGGCTCAACTCCAGCACTTGTCATTTACCAATGTGTGTCCCTGCTTAGTCTACTTTCTTCTCTTTGAGCATTTGTCTCTTTCCCGCATTTGTTTTGAGGATGAAAGGAGACAGTATGTAGTGCATGACACCATGCACCATCACTGAAAGGCACTGGCTTTATAAAGTGCTGATGACAAAGGCAATATCATAAAGGGGTCATCTCTGAACTTGGGTAGGGCCTTCCAAGTAAACACCCTTCTTCAGGACTGCCTGGACAGCTCAGCCCACTGCCCCCAAAGTTGGGAAATGTTAATGAATGAAGCATGACCTGCTTTTTGAGAAAGGACCAGATAAAGGGGGAGAATGACAATGAATTACAATACTGAGCACTTACTACACAGCAGGCAAGCTGCCTGCAAATTATTTAGAATTAAGACCGAACTGGTGTTGATTCCTGCTTCACCTTTACTCACTGAATGAACTTGGGGAAAAGAATCAACCTGTCTTAGTGCCTCTGCTTTCTAATCTATGAAATGGGAACAAGAGCAATTACTCCTTCTAGAGTTTCATGCCATGGAATTGATGTGAGAATTAAATGAGTTAATATGAAGGGTGCTGAGACCTGAGTCAGATACTATGAAAGTGTTCTATGACTAGCTGTTAAAAAAATTTAACTAAATAAAGCAGAACGTCTGGTTTTCTTCCTTTGTCATTTATCACTTGTCCTCAGTCTCCTTTGGCTGCCTTCCTTGGCTCCACATTGGGTTCAAATTGGGCCACCCCATAACCCAGTTCCCGGTCCTCTTCTTTGGACTCCTCAGTATATATTTTCAATCCCTTGGTAATCACATCCCACTTCCAGTTTCAAAGCTTCAAGTAATAGCACCTGCCACAGAATGAACTCCAGTCTCATACACTGCCTTTCCATCATCTGCATGTGCAGATCTACCAGCCATTCCTAACTCAGCATGCTAATGGCTAGGCTACCAGTCTCCATAGCTTTCCCCTTCTCAGTAGAAGGCAATTCCATCCTTCTAGACTCTCAGACCCAAAGCACTGGAGCTTCATGGCTCCTCTTTCCTCTACACCCCACAGGGAATCCTGCAGGACCCACCTTCAGAATGTATTCTGGGATCGCACCTCTGCTACAGTCCACACTCACCACCCTGGCCCTGTCCAAGGGCTGTATCTGTCTCACACTACATTTCCCATCACTAACCTTTCCTCTTAACAGTCTATTCTCACAGTGACCAGGGGGATTCTTTTACAAAGTAAGTCAAAACAAACCACGCTTCTGCACAAAACCTTCCGATGGTTTCCATTTCGCTGGGAGAGGAGCCAACATCCTGGCACTGTTGCCTGGCCTTACATAACCCAGCACTCCAAAATCTCTCCCACCTCATTCTCCTTCTCTGTCGCACACTCCACCCGCCTCCAGCCACAAAGGCCAAATGCCCACAGCCTTCAGATCTTTGCCTTTTACTTCCATTTACCTGGAATATTCTTAGGCTTAGCTAATTCCATCACCTCCTGCATGCCTTTGCTCAAGACCTGGAGTTGTCTTCCATGACAATTCTATTAGAGTTATAGTCATCCCCTCATGGCTCCACTATCACCATGCCTGACCCCTACATCTTATTTTATAGCATCTTTCTCCTTCTAATACATCCTATAGTTTACTTATTATGTTTACTGTCTAGTGTCTGTCATCACCCCTTGCAATGTAAGTATCAAGGGACAGGGATATTTCTGTGTATTTTGTTCACTCACAGACTACTAAGTACCCTAGACTACTGTCTGCCACACAGCAGGCACTCGGTACCTACTACTAAATGAATATCCACAAAATCTAGTCTCCTAAAGGGTGACTTGTTAACTTGATGAGATTGATTAACATGCAAAGTTAGGATCTTGACAGTGACCCATGTTCTTCCTACTCTACCTCTGCCTCCTGATATCAAATACATATTCATCCACCCCACTGTTTCAAGGTACACACTGCTAAGCAGTTGACTCATGTCAAATAGGTGTTGGAAGGTCATCACACAACTAGCATTTACTGGGCACATTGTCAGAGAGTAAGACAAATACCAAGGATTAGCAAGCACAGTTCATAAGTTTCCAGTAGTAAGCTTAGATTCCTTAGCTGAGTTTCCTTAAATAATAAATCCTCTGCGTAGGTCAAGTGACTAAATTGGACTCTCTTCATCCTTTGAACAATCCAGGGACATGAGAAAATGCCATTTTCCCTAGTATCATGAGTACCTGAGTTCCAACACCTCTGCCACTTTGCATCCTATAAAACGAGTTTACTACGATCGTCTGAAAGATCTTATTTCCTCTTGGTAAAGGGAGAGACTCTGATAGGAGAAAGAACTCTACTCACCAGGATGAAGACAGTAAAGAATATAACAACGATTGCAGCTGTAATGAACAGCTTTTTCCGAGGGAACACAGCAGCAGGAAGTAAAAACACTAGTGCAAAGCAGATGGCACCTCGGAGCCCTCCATAAGCAATGATGAATTGATCCTTAAAGGTCAGGGGAATGGTCCGGAACCAGTTAATAACTTGAGTCAGGACAAAGACACCTGAGAAGAAAAATAAAACCAAAGGAAACACACTGTGTGAGGCCAGAACATGAAAATACGAAGCCTTGTTCTATGTTTCCGTGACAGGGTGTGGCATTTACAGATGGTGCCCTGTGACCTTGTCCTTTTATTCTCTGCCTCATCAATGGTAGCAGGCCCGTGGGTCCTTGTTCCAGGATAGTGGGTGAAAATGTGGAATTTGTGAGGCTAAGGGAAGTTAGCTTGATCATAGCAAAAGCATGAAGTTACTTGGGGGAAATATATAAGGAAGCAGGAAGAGAAGAGAGAAAAAGAGGAAGAAGATGAGGGAAAAAGGAAGAGATGGAGAAGCAGGCAGAGGAAGAAGAGGGAGAAGGTGAGGAAGATGAAGAAAACCAAGATGAAGTGGCAGCAAAAGCAAAGGGCAGAGGCAAAAAAAAAAAGCCTCATTCTTTGAGTGTGCCCTGAGTGTTCATTTAGGAAACAAGCACTCATTACCCAGTGCTCTCCAGATCAGACAGAAGGCCAGTGTGAAGCAGACGAAGGCCCAGTTCCACTCGTGGTTCTTCCCAACAGTGGACACACCCATGAAGATGAAGATCAGGGTCTCACTGACACTGCTCAGCATCTTCATGAAGTACTTGATGGTTGTGTAGGATTTCTGGGACACATTTTCCTCCACATACTTATTCATTGTCATCGCACAAGCAGTGATTCTGCAAGAAGAGACAGAGCTTCTGTTTAAATTCGAGAATGATCCTTATCAGAACATGAGTCAGCACTTAAGAGCTAAATTATGACTCTTTCTCTGCCCATGAGATTATTGATTGACTTTTATGTGGATGTGATTTGTATCCTTGACAACCCTGCTATCTCTGAAGTTCTTCATCGATACCCAGGGTTTGAACTATGCAGCTCCATCCAGCTTTTTCAACCCCATGCTCTTCTTACCCCACATCTACATTCTCAAAGGTCTGTGAACATTGGCATCATCAGCTGTCCTGCCAGCTGCACAAATAAAACCAGTCCATAATAAATTCAAAACCTATTATCTTCCTATAAAACCAGCTCCACCTTCTCTATTCCTCTATTGCCTAAAATGCAAGGTCATTGCCTAAGATACTCAAGTTGAAACTGTGGTCACATTGGATTTCTCTGCCAGACCACTTCAGTACCCTCTTTCACCCTAAAATTGGCCACCTATTGTTTCTGATCCTTCATGCTGAATATATCTTTTGGATCCATTTATCCTTTCTCACCCCAATACCTTGGATCTGTTTCTCACTTCTACCTTTTTGCTGTATGCACTTGTGAGAAAGTTATAATTAGTAACAGGCTCTGACTATTGACAAAGGAAAGACATTCTTGTTTATTTTTCTCAGCATTTCCAAGATTCTGGGACCACGGAGCTCTTTATTTTCCCTCCCCACATATTCATTTACCACAGCACCTCAGCATACTCTGGTAAGAAGGCTCTAGGATCAAGTCCACATCCTAAGCCACATGTCCAACTCTCCACACTCTTCCCTCAGGGGACAATTCCAGTGTCACCTCTCTCCTTCTCTCCATCAGGCACACACCATAATCCACTGTCTATAATTTCCTGAAGTGTCTGCTTTTTGCGATCTTCTTTTTTCACTGTACATACCCATTCATCTCCAACTGGAACACTCCTCCTGACCAACTCAAATGTCACCCACAAGGGAAATCTAGTCTGAGTTGGTGATAGCTCACACTAGATTCCATCTAAAGAGACACAGTTCTTATAAAGGACTTCATTATCAAAAGACACTGGAAAATGAAACAGATTGAGAAAATTGGAAGGAGTCACCCATCTTTCAAAGAATGACAGTCATGCCATGAACCAACTGCTGGTTGATATATGAAATTCTCCACATTCTCACAACTCTCTGGCTAAAAGGACTCTCCAAGCACTCCACCTCTACACATAAAGTTATTTCTTATGGAAACCCTCCTTGGGGATCACAGGCGTAGTTAGGAGAATGCAAGCCAAGGGCCATCCAAGTTAAAACCCCAACAGGAGACCATGAACATATGTCATTGTAAGTAACAGACCTGCTTGTTATACCGAAAACATGTACATTTACTTTTATGCCTCCTATTAGAACATAACAAGGACCCCACCAAGACCAAGACATCAATTTAGTCAGTGTCACTGTTCACAGAATGAGTGGGTATTTTCTTTTAATTTGCACTTGCTTAATTCATGTGGTTTCACATGGGAGTGCCTTATTAAACGAGCTAATAAAATGCAGCAGCTACAAATACATAGCACAGCCTTTGAATAGCTGAGGGCTTACATAATAATAGTTGGGTTTTATAACACCCCTACTCCGCATCAGGTATTTGCAAACACTTTATATAGATTATGTCAGTTAAATCTCATAATAAGCCTCTGAGGCAAGTACTATTATCTTTCTTATTTTACAGATGAGAGAACAAAGGCAAACAGAAGTCCCCTGACTTAAGATACATTGCTAATAAATGTTGTTGCCAGGATTTTTACCCAGGTAGTCTGACTCACAGCCAGCACTGTTAAACTTACCCTTCATTCTTTCCAAGCTCTCAGAGAGTCTATTTTCTCTGATGGCAGAGAGAGAGGTCTTTCTCACTGACAAGCCCTTGCTCATCCTTTAATTCCTTATGGTTACTGTAAGAAATTACCAAGAATGTGGAGGCCTATAACAGCACAAATGTGTCACCTGACACTTCCAGAGGACAAAACGTAAAAATCACTTTCGCTGAGCTGAAATGAAGGTGTTGGCAGGGTTGGGTTCCTGCTGGAGGCTACAGGAGAAATCTGTCTCTTACTTTTTTCTAGTTTTAGAGGCTGTCTGCATGTGTTGGCTTGTGGTTGCATCATCTGACCTGTCCTCCCTGGTCATATCTCCTTTTCTAAGGCTGACCCTCCTGCTTATCTTTCCTAGAATACCTGTGATTACATCAGTCCCACCCAACTAATCCAGTGTCATCTCACCATCTCAAGACCCAAACCTATCTGCATTGACAAAATGCCTTTTGTCATTTAGAGCTGGGGATGGTGTGGGCTAGACATCGATGGGATTAAATCCACACCAAAATAATAACCTAAATAGTAACCTAATAATAACCGAAATAGTTTTATTGCATTTTAGAAAATTCTAGATAAATTTCTGAACTCCAAGCTCCTTTCATCATAAAACTACTGGCCTTTAGTATTCCCAATATGACCTTGGCTTGGATTAGCTCATGTCATTGAATCATCTTTTCCTACTTTCCACACAAGGATATCTTTCCTGATCATTATATTTAGTTAATGATAATGAATAACAATATAATATCACCCAGCATTTCCTTAGCATCTACTCTGGGTCAAGTTCTGTGCTGAAGTCTAGGAAGATAAAAGCAAAGAAGATGCAATTTCTATCTTCAAGAGTTGTCATTGTGAGAGCAGAGGCAGCCAGGGTCAGGTGACTGGAACACCCCACTGCCAGGGCTATAAAGAGGGAATTGGAGTGCTGGAAAGGAAACTTCTGCTTGTGCCATAAAAGAGGAGTCATCTGAGCTAAGTGTTCAAGGCTGAGAGTTCACCAAGCTGGAGGAAGAGGGAAGTATTTCAAAGGAAAGAAGACGGCATTTGCAAAGGCATGAAAGAAGTGCACAGACTGGCATATTCAGGAAACTGCAGAATGGTTCTTAGCGGAGGAGAAGAGGGACAAGGGAGGAAAATGTTAAGAGATGGGGGTGAAATAAGTTAGGTGCCAGATCATGACAAATTGAACTGTTGTGCTTAGGAGTTTAAACTTTATACTGCAGGCTAGAGGGGAAATGAAAGATTATATCTATCATCGTATAATGAATGCTTTTCTCCTCAACCCAACTGGAAGCTTTATGAAGAAAAAAAGGTGTCATCAATATTTTGCATGGTGTTTCATTAATATGTTTTGGATCAATAATTACATGGGTAAACTGTTCATAGGACAGTTGTGTGACGTGATCAGATTAGCATTTCTGAAAGAGAAATCTGAAGACACATGGAAGACAGATTTGGAAGGGCACAAACCCAGAGGTTGGGGTTCATTTGTTTCCTACAAAGGTTTGTCATTTTGTTTTCAAAATCTGTTGCAGCACCTGACACATATAACATCCCAAAACATGTTCATGTTTTGACAGGTGTTAGGCTTCATTCTGTGGGACCACATGGAGGTAAGTAAGTATGTATAGAATTCACTGGTGCAGTCTGCCTTGTTATTATCTTGCCTCACATTACATTTTAACATAAATGTATGGTGATTGTCACCAATTTAGAGATGGAGAAGCTAAAGAACTATAATTAGTGGTTTTTACATTCACCAGCAATTGAGCATTCTAAATACAGCATAGAAAAAATTCAGGCAAGATAATACTATCTCAACAGAGTCTTTAGTGAGAAAAACAGACTTTATATTTAGTTGATCTGTCATTTGATGATTTTCTGAATAGAAATTTCCAACAAATACTTTTTCCCTATGGTACTCCATGACTTTATGCCAGCAGCCAATGAAGCCCATCTGGATGTTCATTTGTTACCTACCAGGATGTAAGCTTTAAGAAAACACGGGCTTAGCATCATAGCATGGTTTCCTGCCTAGAGCGGCACAAAGCACATGCTCAATTAATGCTGCCTGAGTCTAGTTTAATGAAGATCCAGACCCCCTCATCTAAATAGTCATGATCTGTAAAGCCTATGGACCCAGACATTGATACCAAAGGTGGGCAGTGAAGGAAGATTTCTGATGAAAGATAAAAAAGAAAAAAATGTCCTGTCTATGTTTGTATACATATGGGAAAGCCAAGCCACAGTGGATTCAGTTTAGAAATAAAAGTACTTTAATTTTTTTAAGGAGTGGTCAAATTCTCCAATTTCTATTCCCACATTAGACTTTTTCCTGTAATCTGAACTGCCTAGAACTGAATTAGAGTCAATGAGATAGAAAGAATGTTGCAAAAGTCTTTTGTTCCTATTCCATATTTGTGTGTAATCTTAAAAAATATGTATGCAGTTGCAGAAAATACAACCCAAATAACAGCTGTATATTCTCAATAAAGACTGTCAAATATGAAAACATATTCTACTAATCCATGCCAAGTATTTGATGACGAAGAACAATTAAAAGGCTTTCACTGTATTGACTAAAGTCAGGTTTTGTAGTGACTTAGGGTATACTGTATGCTCTCAAAATAAAGTACTCACTCATGGGAGAGAAATTAATTATTCCAGGAAATGAATTTTCTGTATAATGGATTATCTTTTCCAGGTAACCAAATAACCAAGAGAGAGCAAGTTTGACATATGAGAAAATACAAACAGAAATTGTGTTTTAAAGGTGGATCCAAGCATAAAAACTGAACAGCCTTTCTTAAAATATCACAAATGAAATAAAGTGAATTAAAACTATTATAAATAATGCTTGATTATTCAGCTAGTCTTGCCCATTTCATGCATTTTCACCATCTTTTGTCTTTTCCCCTTTATATACTTTGAATTCAAGTCTACTAAAGTTTATAGATGACTTACCAATATCTAAAGGACAAATAGTTTTATGGAGAGAACACTAAAGAATCATAATTCATTGTCAAAAGGGGCCTCTCTGGTGGCGCAAGGGGTTAAGCACCACACTATGAAGCAATCTGCAGCCTCAGCACAAGTTCGATCCCCGGCGGGCCAGGGAGCAAC